AACTAAGACTTAGAAAGGTGAGACCCAGGAAGTTAATGGCAGAACTAGGCCTAGAATTCAAGTTCCTTGACTCCCAGCCCCAACCAGGGGCCCTGATACCCATAATGCATCTCTTCAAGCTCTCTCCCGATGTTCCTGGGCACCTGGAATCATCAAGGGGGTGATCTTTGCCATCTTGTATATTTGTTGCTCTCTCTTCGTCCTGGGGTTGAGGAGAGCCTGTCTTTGGCTTCCTGCCCCTCCCCATCCTGTCCCACCGCTTTCTCCTTGTGTCCCCTCACAGCACTGTTGGCACATAGACGCATACACATATACTCAGAACTGCAGGTGTCTAGGGCGACAGACCACAGGGGAAACCACATCACCTTTGTTGACACTGAGGGAGGGAGGGGCGCAGGGGAAGGGACTTGCTTAGTTCTCGCCACCTGCCCCAGTCCCCACGGTCATCAGCCTCCCAACCAGAGTCATGTGGACTTGAAGCCATGCCCCAGCCTCTTCTTCATTTATCCATCCAGTTATGGCCCAGGAGGCTTATCACTTCTTTTCTCAGGTCCTGAAATCCTGGATGGGGGTCTGCCTCGCTGCATCCCAAAGCCACACAACCCACTCCCCAATCCTAGCCAGAATACTTATGTAGCTCCCTAATCAATACAACTGTGAAAGGTGGGAACCAGAGGTGAGATAACAGGGCTGGGTCAGTGAGGAAGAAAACTTGGCATCTAGGATGTCACACATAGGTCAGCTGGGACCTCAAATAGCCACGTATTACCAGGCCTGACAGCAGGTTCTCTGTTGTGGTGACCTGCTAGAGGAAACTGCACAGGCTCTGCATCAGACATATTCAGGATAAAGTCCTTACTGGCTCTGTGGCCTCGGGGAAGTCATTTTGTTTTTGAGTTTTAGTTTGCTCACTAAAACAATGGGGATAATAATGAGACATAAGTGAAAGGGCCTTGAACAGCATATGATACAAAGGAGACGCTCAGTAAATCCTAATGATCTTCCCTCCCTTCCTTCCTGCCTTCCACTTGTTATATCTGGTACCATGAAACCCTTTATTTGGAGGTTTGCCCCTCTATTAATCTGCCCCTTCAAAGCCCTATGAAATGGCGTTTGATCCCAGGTTCAGAAACTGGAATGCAAGGCCCAATCCAACCCAATGAGGGGGTCTTCAGAGATCTCTCAAGCCTTTGGGGACGGAGAGCTTTTTGATTGCCTTTGTGGAGAGTGTGTGGAGAGTGTGGACTGGGGGATGGATTGTGGCTTTGGCTGCTATATCAGGTTGGCCGGTTCAGGGGTGATCTCGAGCCCTGAGTTTAGACCAGATGACCTTCTGGAGCTTTGAATCCTGGCACAAGGAGGACACCTGGTAATATTTGTTGTATGAATGAATGGCCCCTTCACTTACTAGTTGTGTAACTTTGGTCAGGTTTCTTAACCCTTTATGAGCCATACTTTAATCATGACCATGATAAGGGTTATTGTTAAGAATAAATGATCTTCCCAGTGGCTCAGTGGTTGAGCGTCAACCTACTAACCAAGAGGTCACGGTTCAATTCCCAGTCAGGGCACATGCCCAGGTTGTGGGCTCGGGTTTTGGGCTTGATCCCTAGTGTAGGGTGTGCAGGAGGCAGCTGATCTATGACTCTCTCTCATTATTGATGTTTCTATCGCTCTCTCCCTCTCCCTTCCTCTCTGAAATCAATAAAAATATATTAAAAAACAAAATAAAAAATAAATGATCTGATTTTTGCCAAGGGGGTAATATAGGACTGCTACATGGTAAAGAGAAAAAAAGAAAAGAAAAAAGAAAAAACTAAGTATGGGAAGAAGAGGAAAAGGAGGGAAAAAAAGTCAAGTAGGCCCAGAACCACCAAGAGGAGCCAAAGAGGAGCCCCTCAGGCTTTGTACTGGGCAGAGACTCCAGGAAGACTCAGGGGAGACAAGGCCAGTCCCATGAAGCTCATCTCTTCTGCTAGGTGCTGAGCTGAGCAGTCCGTGAGAAGCCTGCACTCAAGAGCCTTTTATAAAAAACGTCCCTCGGTAACCAGGGTAGAGGAGAGAGAGGCAGCCTGTACTTTTCTGCCTCGTGTCTCGTGTCTCGTAGGGTTCTTGGAGGCTCTCTAACATATCCCAGCAAGGGTCATGAGACTTAGAAACTGGCTTAAGACTCGGTTATGGGAAGTAGGGCGTGTGAAATGGTAAGTAAACCTGGGAAGGGAGGGAGGGGCACAGTCCGTCTTCCCAGATGCAGGTCCCACAAGCTATCTTTCTCTCTGTCTATACTTTGGGGGCAGTGAGTCCTGGTGTGTGCAGAAAGTCAGGTGCTGGGTACCATGGGGTAGACACAGGCAGGGGGAGAGACCCCCTTTTTTTAAATGTATTTTTATTTATTTCAGAGAAGAAGGGAGAGGAAGAGAGAGAGAAACATCAATGATGACAGAGAATCATTGATCGACTGCCTCCTGCACGCGCCCTACTGGGGATCGAGCCTGCAACTCGGGTATGTGCCCCTGACCAGGATCGAACCCGGGACCCTTCAGTCTGCAGGCCAAAGCTCTATCCACTGAGCTAAACCAGCTAGGATGGGAGAGACCCTTTTTGCTCAAATCTCTCAGAGCTCGGTGATTATGTCAAAAAGAAAGAGAAGGTTCACAAATAAATACATGATTGATGCACATGGTAGAAATGAGTACACAAAGGCCTGATTTCAGTCCAGAAATAACGACAGGAGTCCTGAGGGGATTAAGAGAGGGCGGGGGTGGGGGGGGTGCTAAAGAAGAGAGACACAGGGAAAAGACTGAGTGTCTGAAGTAACCAAGCAATTTTTCTGGAGATTATGGGCACAGAAGAGGCATCTGGAAGGAGAGTGATCTGGTTTGGAAGTAAGGGCTGGGAAGAACACACCTGAGGTAGAAGAACACACCTGAGGTGGAAGATCATGTGTCTTGCAGAGTCATAGTAAAAAAGGGTGTGTTGGAGGTGTCCAGCTGGGGTACGGTCCTTGAAGGCCATGAATATCTGTCCCAATTCAGCAAATAACTATAGGGGGCTTGAATTCTGTGTAAGGCACTTAGCAAGACACTACAAGAAATGCCGTCGCGACTAAGGCAGTAGCTGGGTTCAGGGGTGTCCACTCTTGAAGGAGAGTTGAGACAGACTGACAACGTGGGGTGGGGTCCTTTAATGGAAGGAAGGATCCCTCTGGCTATGGGAATCGGGGAATGGCTCCTGGAGAAGCTGGTAAAGACTTGAGGACTGGAAAGATTTCAACAGGAGGAGAAAGGGCTGTGAGGACATTCATTTTTGGAGGGAACAGGATGAGCCAAGGTGAGGGAGTGGGAAAGAATGAGAACACAATGGGGAGCAGCCAGCAGCCCACTTTGGCTGAAATAATAATAGTAATCATAGCAACTAACATTGTTGAGCACTAAGTACCAGGAGGCACTGGGCAGAACAGCAGCAAAAGAGAGAGAGAGATTGTGCAGTATGGTGCCAGGCAGCAGGGGGGCTTGGAGGCCAGGAAAGGACTTTGGGAGGATAAGTTGACAAGTGCACTCACCGCCCCGCTGACTGAGTGCTGGGACACCCACAGGGACTGAAGACTGAAGACGGACTTGGACGTCGGGCTGCTAAAAATCCCAGTTAGCAACTAGTGGTGAGGCTGGAGCTGTGCTTGTGGAGACTAGGAGTCTATGGTCAGAAGCTGGACCTCGGAATGGCCAGGCCCTCTTAGGCCACTGTGGACTCTTGTTTCTCCGTCTGGCATGGCTCTGCCTCTGGCTCAGCCTCAATTTCTCCTTCTGTAGAATCCTGAGACTCTTGGGGTTCCTAGGAATAAGGGAAGATTGGGGTCAGATGGAGGTTGCGCCCTGCCTTCCAGTGGTGATGCCCCACGGGAACCCAGAGCCTGGTGGATCAGGTTGAGGACCTCTCCCCTTCCCAGGAGCCACGGTGTCTCTAACCCAGCAGATTGACAGAGGCGACAGGGCTGACAGACTAGGCTGGGAAGCAGAGTGGTGAGGTCCTCAGCCTCTGACCCCTGAATCTGACCTCCCGCGGCTAAAGGGGTGGAGGGGGTCAGGGAGGGCGCTGCGAAAAGCCGGCAGGAGCTGAGTTTATTAGCCGAGGGAGGGCTGGAGGCGGCTGCATTCCGACTCACAGACTGGAACATTTCTGTGATCCGCTGTAATGCACTGGGAGACACTGGGCACATTGCTGAAGTTTGACTCATAGGGACCGGGAGGGGGAAAGAAGGGGGGAGGGCGGTGGGGGGAGAGGAATGGGAGGAAGAGAGGAAGAGGAGAGGAGGGAAGGAAATCCCTTGAGAAATTTCTTTAAAAAAAGAAAAACTTTCAAAACCCGCACCGCCCCCATCCCCTTTTGCTTTTAATAGGAACAGGCTGGACCCTTCGGTTCCCCTCTGCAGGCATTGGGTGGGGGGTGGTAGAGGGGGAGGGCTGGGCAGTGATTCAAATCAGATCCTGGAACTTTCCTCAGGCAAGTCGTGCGGGGGGCGGCGGGGGGGGGGGTGCCCAGGAATCTCGGAGGACTGGGGGCTCCACGCGTGGCCCTCCGTGTGACTGTTTGCTCGTGGGCCGTACTTGTCCGCGCTCGTGCGCGCGGAGGTCCTTCCCGGGCGTGTGTCTGCGTCAACGACTCGGGCCCTGTGTCAACATGGATGTGTGTCTGTGCCGTGCACGCAGGGCTGTGGGCGCTCAGGTAGCCGAGTTTCCGGGAATTGTGCGCGGGTCGGGGCGCCGCGCCTCGGGCTGGGCGGCGGGCAGCGCGGCGACCGCGCGCGGAGAGGGGCCGCGTCCCGCGCCCCGCGCTCCTCCCCGGCCGCGCGGGGTGTCCGCCGCCGCGCGGGGCACGTCTGCCGGGCGGTGTGTCCCAGGGCCGCGCGCGCCGGCCCCCTCCCTCCCCTCCCCCTTGGCCCGCTCTCAGCCTCAGATAAAGCATTTCCTTCCATTGTCATCCTACCCGGCCGGCCAGGCTGCCAGGGCCCTCCCCCTCCCGGCCCCCTCCCTTCCTCTTGCCGTCTCTCAGTCGCTCTGCAGCCTCCGGCGACTGGGGGGATGTGAGGCCGGCGCCCCGGCCCCCAGCCCCGCCATGAGCCCCCCGCTCTGAGGGCCGCGGCCCCTGGATGCACAGTCCCCGCGCGGGTGAGTACCGGGCAGCCGCCCCCAGCCCCGCCCGCCCCGCCCTGCGCGGTTCCTCAGCTCCGTCCGCCCGGCTCGGGCTCGGACTCGGGCTCCGGGTTGGGCTCCGGACTCCCCGCGGCCCGGCCCCGCGTGCGCCCCCCGGCCGCGCCCGCCCCACCCGGCTCCGCGGGGCTCGGGCCGGCTCCCAGCCGGGGCTGGTTCCGGGGCCGGAGGGCTCGGGCCTCCCGCTGGGCGCCCACATCCGCCCGCCCCGGGGCAGCGACAGGCCCGAGGGAGGGAGTTGGAGGCCCCGGGCCGCCGATGCTCAGGCCCGGGGTCCCTTCGCCCCCATTCCTGGGGAGGACGGAGCCGGGGACCGGGGAAGGAGGGACGGCCACCGCGGCCCCGGGAGGGGGCGGTGCTCCGAGGCGGAAGGTTTGGAAGCGCGAGGGCAAAGGGCAGGACCCACTGAGTTGTAGCCGGGCCGGTGGTGCTGGACATCCCATCCCGCGGACCCCGGCAGGGCCTGGCCCCGGCCCCTCGGCTGGGGCCAAGTGACCCCCTGGATGGAGGGTCCGGGGCTGGGAGGTTTCTCCGAGCACCGCCCCGCACCCTGCTCGCCCATTAGGGTGAAGAGACACCTGTGCACCAGTGCGCTGCGGAGGGGCTGACAGAGGTAGAACCGCAGGCGGTGTCCTGAGTGTTGGGGACAGGATGTGCGCACCCCCAGGCCTGGGGTCTGCTGGTGCAGGGAAGTGTGAGAGCAGGCTGCAGATCTGGAAGCTGGGCTGGGCTCTGACACGGGGAGTTTCTAGACCTGTGCGCAGAGAGAGAGCTCTCTGGGGCCTGCAGGCCACCCAGGTCCCCCCAACCCCTTTTTCCTTCCCTCTGGCTGCCCATTCGGATCTGCACATTTGGATCTGACCTCGCCAGCCACTGCTGCTCCTCCCACCAAGTCCAGGCCATTCCCTAGTCCCTGTTGGCTGTCCTGCATACCCAGAGGCCTCCCCCTGCATCTGGACACTGGCCGTATTCCTCTGCCCATCCCTCCCCACACACCAGTTCAACATCTGCTTGAGGCCCAGCTCGGCCTGCCAATTTCTAGGGTGAGAATGGGGCATTGGGTCTTAGTGGCCCTGCTGAGGACTCAACCTCTGGACTGTTCAGCCCATTCCTTCGGGACTTGCACCTGGACCCAGGGGCCTTCTTTAGGACTCCTTCTCAGGCACTGGGTTGAAAGAAGGGAGACTGTGACTCAGTTTCCCACCCCCTAACGGGGCACCTTGGCAGCCCATTTCTCCCCAACAGGACCCTTCCATGAAGTGGCTTAGGTTGCCACACACACACTTCTCTCTTCACACCAGCCCTCTTAGGCATCCCAGGCTCTCTTTTCAGCATCTGCAAGCCATCTCGTAGCTCCTCATAGCTTAGCATCTCATTCTTCTTCTCTGCTCTCTATTCCCTCTACCCACCTCAATTAATAAGTAATTTTCCTCTTTTCTGCAGTCACTTCTGAGGGAAACTAAGGCACAAAGCAGACGTGCTGTGTTATGCACAGTGAACCAAGACTGGAACCAGGTCCTGGACCTGCTGGGACTCCTCCCTTGCCTTTAGTCCCCCGATGCTCCTGGAACCTAGCAGGGCCAGGCTCAGAGCTGCGGCTGGTGTTACATCTGGAACGGTCGGGGGAAGTGTTCTCCTGAGGCCTCTGTATTTGTTAGCTTGAGCTCATGGGTGGGTGTCTCTTTGGCCACCAGGTCTTAGGCTGGGATTGTGAGGCTGGGACGTTGCATTCAGGTCTTGCACTGACCCTCCCAAGAATCTAAAATGGTCACTCTGCTTTGATACTGAAGTTCAGTTTCCCCATCAATAAAATGGGGAGAAAAGTTCAGGTGCACTTCCCAGAGCACAGAGGAGGAGAGGTTAACTATCAAGAGAGGGATCCGTGTTCAGTGTGAGGGCTATTATGACCCCCCTCCCCCACTACCTTCAGGAATAACAAACACCAGCTTTCATCCTCGGTGGCTTCTGGGAATGAGAGTTGGAACTTTTCCTTCCTCCGTCCCTTCCTTAATCCTGATAATGGGAGTGAGCTCATGTGTGATGGGAGAGTGGGGGCCCTCTCTTGGCTGTGGGCATGCTTGCCCAAAGCCTGTGTAATCTCCACCTCTTCATCTTCTTTCTCCTGGCCTTTCGTTACGAGCTGGTAATTTAGAAGTTGGCAGGGGCCTGAGAGAAGATGAGCTAGTGTAAGGCCCAGGGTCACACAGTAGGGAATGGCGGGCCGGGTGGAGCTGGAAGCAGACCTAACCCTGCCGGTGCCCATTCTCCTGGCCTGGCTCAGGTCCTGTCCATGCCTGCCCCTCAGAGCTTGGCCCTGGTCTGCCTTCAGCCAGACTGAGACTGGGGCCTATCATGGGCCTGGGAGCTGGGGGGAGGGCATGTGTCCTCCCTGAGGCTCCAGGACTGCGTTTGTGTGTGTTGGATTTGTTCACTAGATGGGGTACTTCCTCTGGGGCAGGAAGCTTTGATTTCCTGTGGTGGGGGCGTTGGTAGGATTAGGAGTGGGGGGCTCAGCTCTGGGTCATCTCTGATGTTGTTGTTTGGAACCACAGAGGGGGCAGACTTGTTGCAAAGGCTGTGTCCCCCAACCCAGGGAAGGCAGGGTGGAGAGCACTGGTGAGGAGGCCCAGGCCGAGGCTGGAGAAGGAGGCTGTGAGGCTGCTGAGATGAGGGGGGTGGTGGGCAACACAGCAGGAAGCCTGGTCACCAGGTGACCCTGCCGGGTATTGTGTTTCCCTGTGATATTTCCCCCTGTTTCTGTGGTAACCTTCCCAGGGGGACCCAGGCCTTTGGGCTGCAGGAAGGTGCCCCCAGACAGCCCTTTCCTTAGAGGCCTGAGTGTTAGGAGGAGTCCCTAAATCTGGCCACCTCCTTAACCCTTTTGGCTGCTACGACCAGGGCCTGGGAATCTAGGCAAGTGGGCAGAGCACTGAGGGGTGACTGGGCAGAGGCCCTTTTGCATCTTTTTGGGGTGAGGGAAAGTGGGAAGAGAAGGGCTGCTGGACTTCGGGGAGGGCTCTGTGCCTGCACTCATCCCATCTCCTCACTGCCCTCCTTCAGCATCTGCCCTACAAGGGGGAGGTGGACAGCATGCTGCCTGGGGCAAGGGATAAGGGTGGAGGTGGCGGAGGCGGGGAGGGGTGTTTTCATCAGCGGAGCATAGCTTCTTTGGTCCTGGACCAGTTCCCAGAGACAAAATAAATTCAGGATAGTGACTCTTTAGTGTGGGTCAACATGTGAGGGGTGTGTGTGCACACTGGGTGTGTAGTGGGGGCCTGTGTGCCCCAGGCTATGTTTGCAGGTGTGGTTCTGTGACAGTTAGTGACCCACGTAGTGGCTTTGTGTTGGGTCTTTTGGGAGTATGTACATGTGTAATACAGATGTATGCCATCTGTATAGTGTATACCTTCGCTGTTTGTGGCTCTGTGTGGGGAATATGTTCATGTTTTGGGGAGCTGTATACCTGTGCAGAAATGGCTTTTTAATAGAAGTCCAGATGTTGGCTGGGAAGCACCATCTCATTTGTGGTCCTCAGGCTCAGTTTCTGGACCATTTGTTTGGGAGTCACCTGGGAGTGTATTAAAAAGAAAGATCCCCATCCAGACAGATTCAGAATCTGCAGGGGAAGGGCCTGGGAATCTGGATTTTAGGCAATTCTGGTGCAAAGCCGTGTTTGAGGACAGGAGGACCAGCGATGTGGGCCAACCTCTTCATTTTTTCTTTTGAAGAAACTTTGAGACGTTTAGAAGGTGTGCAGTTTGTCCAGGGACACGGGGCTATTGAGAGGAAGAACCAAGACAAAACTCAGGCTTATGAAGACTGGTCCAGGGCTTAGCTGTGCATCCTCTGTGTATGCAGGTATGCCCCTGTCCACACTCAGCGTGACGGAGGGGGCTAGGTGAGGCTGGTGCACACACTAACTGACCCTTGACCTTTCTCTCGGGGTCCCGGGCTTCCTAATCTTGCTCTCTGGCTATATCCTGCTTCCATCTCCCTGGGGAAATCCTGGAACTATTGAACATCAATCCTAAAGGTAATGTTGGCAACCAGGAGGCCCTATTTACTGAGCCAGTCATTCAGCTCTTCATCCATTCACTGGATTCTTACTGAGCCTTGACATGTGCCAGGCACAGATATGCAGTGAACACATCAGCAGAGCATCTGACCTCAGGGAACTTCCACTCTAGTAGAGGAGACAGACAGAACAAGTAAGCAAGTAAAGAAATGAGTATGTACATCTAGTTGCACATTGTGATAAGCTCTAAGAAGGAAATGAACTGGGTGCAGTAATAGAGAATAACAAGGTGGGACTTCCTTAGAAAGGGTGGCCAGGGGAGGCCTGCCTGAGAAGGTGACGTTGACGCCTTCCCTCACCTCCCCAGACTAGAAGTGAGCCCTCAGAGCCTTCTGAGCACGCTTGGGAACTGCCTGGATCCAGGTGGGGGATCTGAATTGCCTGGCATGGGATACAGCAGGGTCTCTGTTCCTCAAGCAGCCCCCAGAGATTGGCCAAGGAGAAGAGGAACAGGGAGAGCTGGACAGGGTCCACCTTGAGGCCACTCCGTGGCTTGGGAGAGCAGCTGCTCCTTCAGGCGAGTCCAGGCCCTGTGGGCATGTTGGATGTTGGGAAGGTAGCAGCCTCTCCAGGAGCTCTCAAGCGCCGCCCCATTCCTGACCCTCCTGCCTCACCTTCTTCCCACCTCATTTCCTTCCTCCCCATCTCCCCACCCTGGAACTCCTGTGCCAAGTCCCTCCCCTCTAGGTCTAGCCTGGCTGCCTCTGTGGCCACCGGAATTTATATACCTGGCTCAGAAATCACTGAGGAGAGAGGGAAGGGGTCTAGGCTGAGAAAGGGCCTAGAGCCCTAGACCCTGGAAAAGAGGACAGAACCCGAAAGAAGGATTGGGCAGATACTGTCGAGAATGGGGCCAAGAGAGGGCGCGGAAGACACCTTGGCA